CAGCTGTGCATCTCTCTCTATCCGTGTTATAGAGGGCAAACAATTTATTTGGGGTTTGGATCCCACTGGGAACTGGGTATCCGGGTGTTGGAGACAGGAGCAGTTCTTAAGCTGTTTTCAGTGAAGCCTGCAGCTTTTGGGGGACGTGGGTCAGACCTGGGTCTGTGTTTGTAGCAGGCGAGCGTGTCTGTCACAACCAGGCGGGGTACTGAAGTCCCAAGCTGCCAGGGAAAACGGGCTCAGAGGTAGTCTCATCACATCAGGTGGCAGTTCCCAAGGGGGTTTCCGTGTCCCAACCCGTCACACTGAGAATCTCTGACTCCTCCCAGGTGGAACAAAGAGGGTCGGGAGGGGGGGGGGCATGTTCCATGATTTACCAGGCTGTTTCCCACCCCTGGGATCCCAGCCAAACTCCACACCCCTCTGTTGTTGGCCTGGTGCAGAGCTGGGAACCCTCTGGCACTATGCAGTTTTGCACACTGATAGCGTGACTCTGGCACACTCACACCTCCAGGCACTCTCAGTGCCTCCTGGGGGGATCTGCAGCACATGCCGTCAGGGCCTGGGCCAGAATGAGGGCAGGGAGGGGGGATTTTTCTTGTTCTGCCTGGGCTAGTTTAGAAGCTTGTGTCCCTGCTGAGCTGGTCAGATGGACTGAGTTCTCCTGGCACGTTGGGAGGGTTCCTTTTACTTGTGACCTTTCACAGCAAGTCGACACAGTCGGGCGCCCCCTCAGCCAGCTCACCAGGGCCCCTGCACCGCTTTCCCCAGGAGCGCAATACCCCACACAGGCCCCCTGCCCGGTTTGCTCTCGGCACAGGGACCAGAAGGACAGTCAAACTGCCCCCTTCCCACCAAGGAGCCATTTTCTTGGCTCTGGCGTTTCCCTTCGCCCGCTGCAGCCCCGTCCAGCATGGGCTCTTGGCGCACTCTGTGGGCATTAGTTCATGGCACCTCTCAGCCTCGCGCTGGGATTTCTAGACCTGTTACAGCTGAGCAAACGGGGGCCAGAGGGGGACGGTGCCTCGCCTACAATGTGAGCTGTGAGTAGAACCCAGGCATCCTGGCTCCCGGCAGAAACCCCCAGACCAGCTGGGTCAAAGTCCGGGCTGACTTACCCCAGTGCCAGCCCATAGGAGGGCAGCAGGCATCAGCCCTGCCTCTCCTGGGTGGGTAGGATGTCTCCCACTGGGGTTATGATGTTGGTTGTTGATGGGGTCCCTCCATGAGCTCTTCTCTGTGCCCTCCGCACCGTGTCCTTGCTATGGGGACTGGCACCAGCTGCAGCGACAGACCCCAACAGGGACCCTGGAAACCCTCCATCGCCCCCGCCCTGCCAGGAATCCTGCTCAAAGGGCAGAACCTCAAGCCCCCCTCCTTCCCCATGGCAGCTCGTGTATTTATTTCTGGGGGGGGTCGCATGTTGTTTTGAAGAAGGCGCCAGCCTCTCTGGGACTCTTCTATTCACAGGGCAGCATCTTGTGATGCGACTCCGCTCTAGAGTTACACTGAGACGAAATAGTTCAGCCTTCCCAGCGGACTCTCCGGTTCGTGGGGCCAGTGCAGCCGGCAACTATTTATGACTGGCAGGGGCCCGCCCCGCTGGCTCCGGCCCCTTGGCTGTGCCGCTGGCCCTGGCCCTCAGCGAGCTCCTGGTGTGCCAAGTGGCCAGGCGCCCCAGCGCGGGGATGGACTGACATTTGAAAGGGGGAGCGAAATCTTGGCCTTGCTGAGCCCAGACGTCACTGCTGACCCAGCACGAGTGCCAGGGGGACCCAGGGGAAGGGCCCAGGCCAGGGTCCGGCACAACCCCTGAGTCCTTGTGCTGCCCAGGCTGTATTCCCTCTCCCCCGGCACGAGGCCCGTGGCCCACTGGGACCCCAAGGGCTGTTGCATTCACCTTCTCTTCCTCTGGGGACTCCTGTGTTGTATTTACTTAGCGTTCCAGTCACAGCGAGGGGGTGATCCCCTGTCCTGGGCTTGGGGACCCTTAGACTTTTAACTTTAACAGTCCAAAACAAAATCCCCACTCGGCAGCTCCCCCGAACTGTACCAGACCCAAGAGCTCAGCCAATGCCCGCCTGGGCTCTCCCCGTCCGTCCCCCAGTCCCTGGCAGCACGCTCACAGGGTGACTCTAACCAGGCAGGCTGCAGGCTGGCCCCTGCGTGTCCCATGGGCCCATCGCCCCAGATACCTGGCCTCCCCTGGGCTGGACGGCCTCTGACGCCCACCAGAGAGCTGCCCCTAAAGTCCTGCGTTCGCCATCAGAGACGTGTCCTTCCCACTAGGGCTCAAGGACTAACCCTGCAGCTGTGCGCTCTGCAGCCTTCTCCCTGACGGTGGCTGTGCCCCTAAACCAGGAACAGCCGCCCAGCTCCCAGTGACCGTGGAGCACCCGGCCCCTTGCGGGGACAGAGCCGGGAGAGTCATGCCCAGACTTTGTGGGCAGCGGGTGCCTTGCTCAATGCACTCAGGCCCTGTGTGACTGGCGGGCGCCTTCATCATCACCTCCCTCCTCCATCTCCCCCTGGGGCTGGCCAGGTCATTCCCAGGGAGAGCCGGGGGCTCTTTCCAATCTGACCTCTCCCTGTTTTCCATGCAGGGTTTACAGCTGATGCCTCGTTCTTCACCAGCTTCCTTCTCCTCTGGGTCTCCGGCTGGCACTTACCTGGTGCAGGCTTCGTGGCAGGCTCCTTCCTGAACAGCCCTCAGCAAGTTCTCCTGGGGCGCTAGGCGTGTCCCCGGGTTTTATAGGCACACGCTTGGGCTTGCTATTTAGGGAGTGCTGCACCTGTCGGCCACTGCAGCCCTCCTGGGCCCTTTCAAGACGCTGGCAGCAAGCGGCTCGGATTATCTTGGCATAGCTTAGCATTAGCAGAGCCTCATTAGCAGCTGGCATCTGAGCACCTGCGGAGGGGGCAGGACACTGGCCATAGAGCGGCAGGAGGGGGAGTCTCCAGAACAGATGTCTAGTCCTGAAAACCCTCCCTCTCTCCAGGAGCAAGCAAAGCCCCCCCACTGGGGTGACCGGGGAGGGCCGACGTTGCAGAAGCTCATGCACAGGGATGGGCAAACTACGGCCCACGAGCCGTTTTAAGCCGGCCCGTGAGCCATCATTGACTCACTGTGTAACCTCGGTCAAATTGCACTTCCTCTCTGGCCTCAGTTTCCCCGCCTGAAAAACAGGCATAGTAATACTCCTACCTTCCTGGCGTGCATGCATATGTATAAAGAGGAGCGCACAGTCTGGCATGTATAATGTGTAGGAGTGAGGCAGGCTCGGGGGAGGGGGCGAGAGAAAATGCCTGCATCACAACTGTGTGCACTTAGGGGGCAGGGACGGTTGCATTCCGGTTTGTAAAGCACCGTGCAAGTGCACGCCGCAGGATAACGGTGCCTTCAGCGTCGCTGTGAACTGCTCCGGATTTAGCCCAGTTACGCTCAAGCCTGATCTTTGAGAATTGTGGGGGGAAACCCGTCGCTGGGTATTCGAGCAATGTGTCACCACTGCACATCCTGAACCCGAGTCAAAGGGCACCTGCCTGGCACACACCCACGGCGTTGCAGCCTCACCTGTCAGCAGGTGCAAACTCCCCTGCATTTGCATGTGCAGCTGCTGTTGATATGTGCATGCAAACGTCTCCAGGGGGGTTAGCGGCCCTTAGAAAACGTGGCTCCATGAGCACAAACTCTGCAAGTGAGTGAGAAACCAACAGCTTTTTCTCTGTCTGTAACGACGTGACTGCGATTCCAACGGCAGCTCTCCTGGCTGGGGTCCTGCTTGGAAACCAGGGTGAATTTTACTAACCCCCCCCCCCCGACTCCTTTCCGCTTCGGAGGAATATTCTTTCGATGTGCGTTGTGCTCTGTGCTCTTGTTCAGCCTGTGTGCTGTGCAACCACTCTCACAATCCTCCATGCTGGTTACAAGGGGGAATTGTGCTGAGCAGAGCTGGGTACAAAGCAATGTAATCTCCAGTCCCAGGGAGAAAGCAAATTAGCTCTGAATGATGCGGCTGCCTTCTTGGAGAACATTTCTTTGCAAGAAGACTTTAATTTCTCCAAGCCGGGATCTATTTGTGGCCGCGCGACAGCTGCCGCGCAGTGTTCTTTGCAAGCTCAGGTCTTCTAATCAATTAACGGTGCACGTAAATTTGGCTTTCAATATTAAAAGTGCAGGAAAGGATGTTCCCTGCTGTGCTAAAAGCTCAACCTCCCAGCATGCCGCTAGCACTGTGTAGCCATGCTAACCTACCCTCCTCCGACGCAGGCTTCCAGTCGTGATGTTGGGGCAAACGGTGTCAGGGAGTCCCCGGGCGATGCTCTGGAACTGCTCCCCACAAAGCCAGGCAGGACTTTGGGGAGCCTCCTCTTCCATGGAGCAGACTGTCTTCAGGGCAAGAAGCTCACACGGCTTCACCTTCCTGGGTCTGACCTTGGAGCATTCAGCATATGCCCCTCCGTGCGCTTCCCACAGCGAGTCCGCCCCAGCGGGGTCCTGGGGAAGCCAGAGGGTCCTGCACCCCCACTTCGCAGTCAGACGTGACTCTCAGCCAGCCAGTAAAACAGAGGTTTATTAGATGACGGGAACACGGTCTAAAACAGAGCTTGTAGGTCCAGCGAACCGGATCCCTCTGCCGGGTCCATTCTGGGGTCCGGCGAGCCAGACACCCCTGTCTGCCCTCACTTTCCATCCAGCTCCATCTCCTCTGCTGAGTTCCTTTCCCGGGCCAGGAGGTCATCTGACCTCTTTGGTCTCCCACACCTTTAGCATCCCCTTGCAGGGGGGAAGGGCCTGGCCATTAGTTGCTAGGCGACAGAGTGTTGGTCAGAAACTGAGGCACCCACACAGTATTCAGAGAAACATTAAGAACAGTTCCACTTCGTCACACTGGGCATGTGAGACCTAGCGAGCCTGGGCACCAGGGGAGCAGCTAGTGGGTCACCAGGACCTGGGGAACATTAAATCATATGCCGATCAAGGGAGGTTTCCTCCTAGACCTTCAGCTGTCTCAGTAAATGTCCAGGAGGCAGGGAGGGGGAAGGTGCACCTCTAGCCAGGCACAGCCTCCCCCTGGGCTTGTTGCAACACCATTGCTTGGGAAAATAGGGCTGCCTCTTCGGTTAGGTCACGCCCGTGGCCTAGAAAGCGGGGGGAGCCCCTCTGGCTGCCCTCGTGAGATGAGAGCCTTTCGGCCGCGTCCCCAGGGGATGCTGGGTCCTCAGATCATTCCCCTGCACCACTAGCTCCTGCCTGGCCAGCTGGGTGGCACTTTGCTGAGCTGGGAGCCATCTTGCCTCCTGGTGACGCCGTGAATCCCATCTCTGTTCAGCGAGAGCAGCTTTGCTGAGCGTGGAAGCGGCCGCTTTCAAATGACTCCGAACGCTCTCGTCATCTTTTAGTACGATGCTCTCCAAGCACTTTGGACACCAATAAAAAGAACTTCATGTGCTCTCCCTGCTCTGCCTTTGTGACGCAGCTAAAGATCATCCCCCAGCGTAGACAGGGAAACCGAGGCACGGGTGAAGGTGACGTGACTTCCCCAAGGTCACACAGCAAGTCAGCGGCAGGGCTAGGAACAGAAGCCAGGACTCTCGATTCCTCTGTTTTCAAACCAGTGGAAAGGCACAAATGTCCCGTGAGGAATCCAAACAGCACTGGGACAGCTGAGCTGAATGCTCTGTGCACCAAGGCCAAGTCTGGGTCCGCTGCAGCCACGCAGCCCTGCCAGACGAGACGCTCTCCTGCGGGAGATGCCTCCAGCGCCGAACCAGGGCTGCGCTGGGACTGCTGCCAGTCGGGCTCTGGTGGGATCCGGCTCCCATTGTAGCCAAAGCCCCCGGGCTCCAGGCAGGCGCCCGTGTCTGTGTTTGTTCTGTTCATCTCTGTTTGTAGCTAGGGGTTCTGGGGTTGAAATAACATGAGATCGGGGCTCGTCAGTCTCTTGGGGTGGACACAGCCGGGGAGCCCAGATGCTGGATCGTTCTGGTGCACAAAGAGATCTCGAGTGCAACGCCTGGGTGAGACGTGGCCCCAGGGCTCAGCTAGTGGGGTGTGCTGGCGCTGCCCCAAGCGCGGGGTGGGGGTGGGGGCTGCACGTGTGAGAGAGCGCTGGGGGAGAGCGGGTGCCAGCCGGGGAATCATTTCAGAAAAAAATGTTGGGGGGCAAAGCGGTGTCAGCCTATGGAGCATTATATGTGATGATATCCTGCAACGGTGGGGC